ATCTAATTGTAACTCAGTGCTCATTGATCAACCTTGCCCCATTCCATTCCCACCCCAATTAGCTCTAGTCTAGTACCCACCATTCTGCTCTCTACTTCCAAGATCAACTTTCTATATTCCTCATTTGAGTGAGATTATGTGGTATTTGTCTTTCTGTGGTTTTTGGGGGGTGGTGGTGGTGGTGGTGGTGGGGCTTGAACCCAGGGCCTTGTGCATGTGAGGCAAGAACTCTACCAACTGAGATATATCTATCCCTAGCCCTACAATTTCATTTTTAAATGGCTGAATAACATTCCATTGTGTATATGTATCTGCATTCTTGCTATTTGTCCCTTTTTATAAATAGTTTCTCCAGCTGTATTGTTTGCCTTTTCAGAGGTACATGTTTGAATATCTCTTTACATATCTGCCCAGTATGCAACTCTACTCAATAAACAATAAGGGATTACCTTTTCATCTCAGCCATTATCAATAACTATCATTTTTTCTGGAATCAAAGCATTCAAAAATTCTTGAAGATACCTTTCTTTTTACCTTTTCTTTCTTAAGCAATAGCCTTGGGCTGAGGATGTAACTCAAGGGTAGCACACTTGCCTAACCCTGAGTCCCATCCTCTGTACCAAAAAAAGAAAAGAAAATTTCTTAAGCAATAGCCTCATTGCTAGAAGCTTAGGATTTTTCAGTTTCCAGGCTTCTGCCCATCACTGTACATGTTCTTATTTGCATTGGGCTCTGAATGAGTAAACACTTCACATTTGTTTAACCATATAGTTTAAGAAGCTTTCCTACTTTGAAATTCACTGATGAAGGAAATAGAGGGATGTTATTTCCATGTGGCAAACAAGGAGACTGAGACACAGAGCCATTAATCAGATGCTGACTTCTAGGCTGGGGCTCTTTTTACTTCTTAAGTGGCTTCTCTGGTTTGCTTTTTCTGCTATTCTTCGCTCACCAACTAGCAAGCCTTTACAGGAGTCTTCATGTGAAGAAAAAGAGGAAGAATTTTGTAGTGGATGACGGTTGTACCCTCTTTTTCATCAGTAATCCCCCTGCAGTAGCTATCAGGTATTTCCTTTAGAGTGGCTTTTTTTTTTTTTTTCGGGGGGGGGGTGGGGGGGGGGGGGGGGAGTGTAATAGGGATTGAACCCAGGGGCACTTTTAGCACTGAGTTATATCTCTAGCCCTTTTTATATTTTCTTCCTTTTTTTTTTTTTTTTTTTAATGGTGCTGGGGGCTTTGTACATACAAGGCAAACACCCTACCAACTGAGTTATATCCCCAGCCCTATATTTCCATTTTGAGACAATGTTTTACTAACTTGCCCAGGGTAGCCTTGAACTTGGAACCCTCCTACCTCAGCCTTCAAGTAGCTGGGATCAAAGGCCAAACAGTACCATGCCTGGCTAGGGTAGGATTTTTTTTTTGGTGGTGGTGGTGGGGGTACTGGAGATTGAACTCAGGGGCATTGGACCACTGAGTCACATCCTCAGACCTATTTTGTGTTTCCCAGCCCTATTTTGTGTTTTATTTAGAGACAGGGTCTCACTGAGTTGTTTAGTACCTCGCTTTTGCTGAGACTGGCTTTGAACTCTCCATCCTTCTGCCTCAGCCTCCAGAGCTGCTGGGATTACAGGTGTATGCCATCTGGACACAATACCTTTATTTTATTTACTTATTTTTATGTGGTGCTGAGGATTGAACCAGGGCCTCTCACATGCTAGGCCACAACCCCAGCCCAAGGGTAGGATTTTTTAACAACCCCAGGCTCATTCTCACTTCAGACCTTTCATTTGAGTAGGGCCATTTTCCACTGAAATGTCTTCTCTCTTCCTCTACATGAACCTAAATGCTACCCCAGTCTGTAGACATCTTCTATTTCACAGTCCTACTGGACCCCAATCCTCCCTACCCAGACTCTTACTGAACTGAAGCAATGCTGATCAAGAGTCTACTCTGAGCCAGTCATTGTTTTTAGTTGTTCCTCACTGCCTTAGCTCATTTAAACATAGGAAAACTGGGAAGCAGTTTTTTTTTTTTTAATGATGAATTTTATGGTTTCTGAATTATATTTCAATTATAAAAATTTTAAGTGAGTACTTATGGAGGAAAGTTAACATTTCCACTTAAACATTTTCCTATTATAGTTACATTCCATTCCTAGACACGCCATCAAGTGGCATCAGCTATAAGATCACACTTAAGTGATGATATCCTGCCCCATAGCTCAGATCTCACTATAGTTTTTTTGTTTCTTGCATTGTATCTTTCAGGAAAATTACTAGTAATAGTTGGGAGGCAGGTTAGCCCCATTTTAAAGTTGATACATCCAGCATCTGACTCTCCAGGCTTTGTGCTCTTTCCCCCATAACTCAAGGTGTTGTTTTCTCTTTAGCACATTTTTTTTACACTGTACATTTCTTGACAACCTCCACAAATTTTATGAAAATTCTAGCATACATGATTTGATTTTTCTGCACTTTTTGGAAGAACTGCAAGAATTTTATTTCCAGAGTAAGGTAAATCTTTTGTTATAGTTTGTGGAAGGTTGAACATTGAAAACTATCCACATCAGCTATACTGGATAGTTTAGATAAAGGTTATCAAAACCTTATTTCATTATAAACATTCTACGTTATTGGATCTCCACAAGTATGAGATAATGCTATGTAATAATGGTAACAATAATAACAATGACAATCAGATTTTAAAAAAAGAAAATGTCTGAATGTTTGGAGTTGGAGGCTAAAAACATACAGGTTTCATAACAAAGCAAGATATATTTATAGTCATTTACTTGAAACTGTAGAGGAGGAATATCTTGCAACTTCCAGAGACAAAGAGTTAGTAAGGGAATTTGATTGCATAGTGTCTGTTACCAGTAATAAAAGCATGAAAATAAAAACAATAAATAAAAACAATTGACATCCTCTTTGGTGTTTTATTCAGTGAATATAAAATTTTATTTGAAATTTCATATCAATGGATGATCCTAAATTTGCTTTTCTCCATGAAGGTATGAGATATTTCACCTTGAAATACTAGTATTGTTAAATATCCTTAACTTGCATGCACCATCTGATAGAGGACCAGGACTTGAGGTCACTCCCTCACCTTTGCCCTTTCTCAGCAACAAATAGCCAGACTAGATGATGCCCAACCACTTTAAAAGAGTTTAAGACACAAGTCCTTAAGGGGTGGGGGAGGGTTAAGGTGGGGGATCTTAGGTAGCTAGTCAGCCAGGAAAGGGAGCAGGGAAAAGACAACAAAGGGCAACTGAAAATCACAGAGAGCCTTATCTGACAGATAAGCACGTGGAAGATGGGGGTTTGGAATGTTAATTAAATTTCCTCAAAGGGAAAAAAAATTGTTTCAAGATCAGGTCACCTTATCAGGTGGCCTCAACTATAACCCAAATTATCACAACCTCCAATCACTGTGGCAACTAAAACCGGAAGACCTTCACAACAAAAGCTTGCTGAAGGCTATTCAAAGGTAATAAACAGATTAAGGGAGCAGTAAATTGAGGCAAAAAGAGGGGAACTCAGTTTCACCAGTTCTGCAAGCATCCTGAATTCTTGCATCCTCTTTTGGAGGCAACCCATGCAGTTCCCATTTCACCATTCAAAAGTCAGGAAGCAGACTTGGGCAGGACTCACTGAAACTTCCCTGAGAACCCCAATAAAACTGGGGCGGGCAGGAGGGCTGCACCATCCTCCTGTCAGGGCCCATTCTACCTCATAACCAAGGAAAAGCAGACGGTCTATTGTCTGAATTTCAAGGCAACTAAGGTGCAGCGATGTTCTGGCTTATAAGATTTTTAAATACATATTTTAGAGTGGAGAGAGATTTTATACAGGGGTGGGTGTAAATGGAACTGCTGCAGGGCTCTTGGATGGCACATGCCCATAATCCCAGCTCCTGGGAGGCTGAGATAGGAAGATCTGCAAATTTGACCTCAGCCTGAGCTACTTAGCAAGACCCCATCTAAAAATAAAATCTAAGGGTGGAGATGTAGTTGAGTAGTAGAGTTCTTAATTAACATGCACCAAGCCCAGGGTTCAATCCCCAATACTACAGAGGAAACAAACAAAAACCTGCGGTGGCAAATCCCAAGTATTTGCCCTTATTTCAGAGCGGAATGTGGGGAAAGGCAAGAGCCTGCAGCCCCAGAATAGATTTGCATTTTAAAGTACTGCCCCAGGTCCCGTAGGGCTCCACCTACAAAGTCTGTGGTTGTTGTTGTTATCTGTAACCCTCTGTTGGTCCAGGTTTAACTTAGAAGCTATTTGTAAACTCTCTCTCATTGGTCTTGGTCTGTAATGGACAGAAGGCAAAATGTGAATGTTTGCAAAGACTTTTAAAAGTGACAAGAATCCTGTCGTACTTGTTATGCATTCAGCCATCCTGTAACAATAATGGCAGTAAACGTGAAGTTAAATCTACAATCCTATCACCTCAGCATGTTTCTGGTTTCTACCTTCCTTTCCATTTTCTTATGCCTTAAACATATGCAAATCCCTCTGTCAGTCTAGGTTCAAGTGCTGCTTGTATACCTCCTAAAAACAATTTTACATTTTGCTTTTATTTTTCTCCCCTTTTTGCTTATTTCTGAGGCTGCGAAATATTTATGTTTACAATATGCTTTAGTGGCTACCTCATATTCCATCCTGGTTATTCACTTTAAGTAACTATTCACCATAAATATTTTGGAGTCAAAGCTAACACTTTCGACCTTGCATTGCAGGGCCTGGAGGTCGGTCAAGGTTAGGCGGAGCGCTCCGGGCGACAGGGCTGGGTCCGGTGGCCCAGAGGAGGGCGCCCAGTAGAAAGCCAGTGCGCCAATCGCTCGGCTTCGCCCGGCACCTGCCGTCTTGGCGCCTTTTCTCTGAGACCTCGCCCCACCCCGCGCACCCAAGCGGAGGGCCGGGGCCGGGTGCGCGCGCACATCACCCCAGGCGGTTTCTTCAGAGTACCTCGTTAGGTGTACGTGAGGCAGGAAGTGACGCAAATCCTAGGGGGTCGAGTGGGGCGGGCCCATGCTATAAGCCGCGGGTTGCGGGTGGCCAACCTCTCAGAGGGCGTCTGGATCGCGAGTAGCGGCTGGGCGGTAGCGGACAGAGGAGGAGGCGCCTGAGTGAGTGACGCGCGGCGGCTGTTAGAACTTCAGAGACCCTCTTGTTCTTTCCTCAGCCTGGGAGGCGGGTTGGAGCGGTATCCGGGCCGACCCCACCTCGGTGCTGTCCAGCAGCTGCGGGGAGGTTGCGGAGGTTGCAGCGCCTCGGTGGGGCGGGCGGGATGCTGCGGGAGCCGCGAGCTGGTGGGCCGGGGGCTGCGTCCGCGCCGAGAGCGGGCTGCAGGTGCAGAGGGGTGGGGCCGCTCTGCAGAGAGGAACGTCCTTTTTCTCCTGCGTTTTGCGCCTGCCTTGGTCGCGGAGAGGCGAATGGTTTTTCTATTAGGGCTTAGGGCAAGAATAAAAATACCCCATCATCGCTCTGCCCTCTCTCCATTCTGCTTCCGGCTCCTCGGGCCGGGTCGATCCCTGTTCCTCACTAGCTGGCTCTTAAAAGCTGCATGCCCTCCTAGCCAGGCTCAGGGGCAGCCACGCTGCAGCAGCTCTGCTGAGCTTAGAGCACGTGGCTGCTCCAGGAAGTAACCCCCAGCAGTGGCTGTCGGGGTTCTTGGGTGACCTTGGGCTTATAACCCTTCTCTTCTGCAAGGCCTAGTCTCACTGCTAAAAGGGACAAAGCTGACCCCGATTCGGTTACGAGAGTGTCATGGGCATTTAGGTGGCAGTTTCTGAGAACTGTACATTTGAGCTCCGGTACCACCTGATCTTTTGCCAGGCTCTGCCTGTTGGCCTTGTGTGTGGACTCTCAAATTTTCCCAAGGCGGAATCCAACAGAACGTTCCAGGTGTTCACATTTAGAGTACTGCTGGCAGTCTTTCCTACAAGATGGGAGACCGTAGGAAAAAGACTTGTGTGTAAACTCTGTTTGGGAATTAGTGTGATCAAAGGGCTTTTGAGACCCATTGTGTTCATTGTTTCTGCTGGACAGCTCTCTATAGTGGTTGTGTGGAGAGAGGGTCTGTAAGAAAATGATATTTAGTGACACCTCTTTTCACTTAACACTTTCTCCCTGTCCACTGATTGCAGTGACCTTGGGGTACACGACTTATGGAGAGGACTGCATTATTGTGTATTTTCCCATTAAGAGGATTGAAATAGGAATCTGTCCAGTTACAGAAGTATTCGGCTACCCGACGTCTTTATTGGGGGCTTAACTACGAGTCTGTAATAGTAGGTGCTGACTCATTTGTCTCAGAGCTGGGAAATTTGACCCATTAACAAAGAAATTTAAGCTGACTTCTAGAATTTACTGCGAAAATTAAGTTTAGGCTCTCTAAAGTACTTGTGGGTCCTGCATTGTCTTTATGGTTTTGGATTATAAACTCAGTGTCCTTTACATGAAGAACCCACAGTTGAAAACTTTTACATGAAGAACCCACAGTTGGATATAATATAGTACCCCGCCACCCCCTTTGGGATGCTGTTGTCAAGTAATCATGACTGTAAACCTAGCCAGTGTTAAGGATTTAGTTTGGGTAACTCGACCCTAAGGCAGTTATTTGCTTCTGATAATGTGCTTATCTATTATGGAGTAAGGTTCCTAGTTAAACCTTAGGCAAACAATGAAACCTAGTTAAAAATGGCCTTGTGGAACTATTCTGTGTAGGTGCCTTCTTTCTGCTGTCCCTGATGAGCAGACCGCAGTGACTTCGAGTGGTTCTGTAATTCTGACCTTCAGTTTGGGCAATCTCTTTTCAGAAAGCTATATGGGAAGGAAGCTGCTGCTCCACTGCTCTTTCATTTCAGGCCATAAAATTAAACTCTTAACTAGAAACACCTTGACCATCCCTTGTGAATTCATACATGTGTGTATATATAAGTACATGAGTTTTGAGCACCCTGCACAAGTTTGGTAAATTCATGTAATCCTTTTCTTTTCACCTGGTGAATGCATAGTTGTCTAAGGAAATGTTTGCATTGTCTACAACCAGGTGCTTGAGATTTTAGAACCCTACCAGGTATATTTTACAGTTTTTCTGCTTTTATTTATTTAGATACCTGGGATTGAACCCAGGGCTTACATAACCATTGAGCCACATTTCCAGTCCTTTAAATATATTATTTTGAGACAGGATCTTGCTAAGTTACCTAATTCAGTAAGTTGCTGAGGCTGACTTTCAACTTGAAATTCTGCCACAGTGTACCACTTCACTGTGCCCAGCAGTTTTTCTGCTTTTAAAGAAACTTCCTTCTACCCAAGATTTACCTAGTGATTTCAGGATAAACCAGACTAGTTATAAAGATGGGGAAAGATTCTAGTTCCAAACTCTTCATTATGTTCTTTTTCATGTCATTTGGAACCTCATATGCATTAATCATGTACCAATACTGTTAAGAAATAAAATTTTTACTCCTTATTAATTAACACATAGTCCATTATCCAGTGTTCCAGGATAGGGAAATATGTCAGAAAAAACTTCTTAAAGAAGGCCATTGAACTGAGTCTGGAAGAGATGAATAGGACCTCAAGGAACAGGGAAGAATGTAGGTAAAGTGTGTTCTGTCTCATTTAGAAGAAAATGCAGATTATGAACGTAAGGCAGTGAAGATTTTTAGAACAGATCCTCAAAAATGGCTACAGGAACTTCCTTTTATGTGAACTCCAAAGACTTGAAACAGTGGCTGATTTTCTAAATTGAAGTGGGCTTGCTGGTATTGACAAATGGCTTGTTCTTACTTCACAAGAGAGAGTAGTGGCTTTGTCTGTTATAATAGGTGAGAGTATGTCTGAACTCTTCCACAACCTCCAGCTCTATGAAATTTTTATAGATCCTTAGTCTTGAGATACTACAATTAGTTTAAGATTTCAGGATAGTTCTTCACTGAGGTACATTCCCAGCAAGATGACTTTATTTTAAGGAAGGTTGGGATTGTAGTCTACCTAGTATCTTTTGCCTGTTTATCTTCTGTCTCACAACTCAAAGACATTTCAGATCCTCCTTCTGTTTCACATAAGAATTGAACTGTTTTTTTTCCCCTCAAGCTGGGTTTGGTGATCTATAACTTAAACCCAGTTTCTCCAGAGACTGAGGCTGGAGGATCACAAGTTTGAGGCAAGGGGGCAATTTAGTGAGACCCTGTCTCAAGATAAAAAGGGCTGGGGAATATTTGTAGATCGGTGGTAGAGTGCTTGCCTAGCATATATGAGTACCCAAGTTCTATCCCCGTTGGGAACTTCAGAGATAATACAGTTAACTAATGTGTGTAAAAATCCAAGTGATATTAGGATTGTATCTTGTAATAGATTAATCAGCATTGGTGATGACATCTTGAAATAAACCAAATGAGAATTGTTTTTGACTTTTAGATATGGCTTTTTTTTTTTTTTTAATTTTTTTTTTTTTTTTTTAGAGAGAGAGAGAGAGAATTTTTTTAATATTTATTTTTTAGTTCTGGGCGGACACAACATCTTTGTTTGTTTGTGGTGCTGAGGATCGAACCCGGGCTGCACGCATGCCAGGCGAGCGCGCTACCGCTTGAGCCACATCCCCAGCCCTAGATATGGCTTTTTAATAGAACTGTTTATAGACAGAATGGTGTTAATAACTGGTAGGAAAAGTTTCTCTCCCATGCCCCTTTAGAGTACATAAATTAGAGTGATTTCACTTGGGTTTTTGTTTTGTTTGCCACAGATTAAACCCAGGGGCACTTAATCATTGAACCACAACCCCACTTTAAAAAAAAAAAAACAACTTTTGAGCCAGGGTCTCATTTAAGTTGCTGAAGTTGTCTTTGAACTTGTGATCCTCATCCCTCAACCTTCCAAGTATCACAGGCTTGTGCTTCCATATTCAGGTGATTTATTTTATGTTACGTTATTAATTTTGTGTCTGTAGATTGAAATAAAAATAACATTTGTTTTATCAGTAACATGTACTCTGGTTTTAATAAATAATAAAATGTGTAAATGTCTACTTGTTTTATAGATTTGAAAATTACTCAATCTCATTTATTTAATTTATTTAAATAATTTATTTAAATGTGTTATGACTTAAAATTATTTCCATGACCAACGGTATAGCTCAATGGTAGAGTGTTTGCCTAGCAGGGATGTTTCATTCTGGGTTCCATCCCCAGTACTGCAATAAATAAAATTGTATAAACAAAATTAATTTAAAACTATAAAAATTGAGGCATGGTTGGTTCAGACAAGTTTTAAACTTATAAACTGTTTTCTCCTAGAAAAAGGATGATCAAAATTGGCTTAGGGTGGGGCCTTCTGGTTCTGGCCCAAGTGATTGTGGTTATACACTTTTGGTGCAATGGTAGTGATAAAACTTTGTACCAGAAGGGGCAAGAGATTGTACTACTAAGAATATGATAGATTGCATATGACTTTGGTCTTTAAAGCCTGGGGTTAAAAAAAAAAATGTTTAATAGTACTTTTTAGAAAGGAACTTTTTAGCCAGGTGTGGTGGTATTTGTAATCTCAGCAGCTCAGGAGGCTGAGGCAGGAGGATTGCAAGTTTGAAGCCAGCCTCAGCAACTTATTGAAGCTCTAAGCAACTCAGTGAGACCCTGTCTCAAAAGAGGAGGCTTTCTCTAAAGCCAGTTTACACAGTGTCTTTTATTTTGTAGATGGCATGCTTTCTACCTTGTGGGTATTTAAATAATGTGCTATAAGTGTACTTCTGTGTTTGGGAAAAGACTTAAAAGTGGATTATATGTAATAGATGTCCATTTTCAACATCACTTTCAAGTACCTGGATGCACTCAGACCAAATTAATTCGAAAATTATGATTTCAGGGGCTGGGGGTGTGGCTCAAGCAGTATCGCGCTCGCCTGGCATGCGTGCGGCCCGGGTTCGATCCTCAGCACCACATACCAACAAAGATGTTGTGTCCGCCAAAAACTAACTAAATAAATAAATATAAAAAAAAAATAATAATAAAAAAATAAAAGATTAAGGTATGCTTCCATCATTTAAAAAAAAAAAGAAAATTATGATTTCAGTAAAGGCTTTAACTTGACATGACGTTTAGTTACAGAGATATTTTACTTTGATTATAAATAAAATAAAGGTATTGTGTCCAACTACAGTTAAAAAATAGATAATTTTTAAAAAAGGGCTGGGGTTATAGCTCAGCAGTAGAGTGCTTGCCTAGCACATGCGAGGCCCTTGGTTTGATCTCAGCACCAATAAAAATAAATAAAATAAGATTGTGTCCAACTACAGCTTAAAAAAAATTTAATTCCAGGGGTAAGAATATAATTTCCCTCCCTCCTGCCCTCCCTTCCTTCCTTGGGATTGAACCCAGGGATGTTTTACTATTTATCATTGAGCTATATTCCCAGTTCTTTTTTTTTTCCTAGTGAGACAATTCTCACTAAGTTGCTGAGGGTCTTGCTATATTGCACGGCTGGCCTCAATTTTGTAATATTGCCCCAGACCATCGAGCCACTGGGATTACAGGTATGTGCCACTGCCTTGGCCAAGAATACTTTAGATTTAGAGTATCAGTTTGCACCCAGGTGCAGTAGCACATGCCTATAATTCTGGCCACCCTGGAGGCTGAGACAAGAGGATCAAAGCCAACTTGAGCAATTTAGCAAGACCCTGTCTCAACATAAAACATAAAAAAGGAGGTGGAAAATACTAGATTAAACAAAGGTGGCTGGGGATGTGGCTCAAGCTGTAGCGCGCTCACCTAGCATGAATGCGGCCTGGGTTCGATCCCCACCACCAAAAAAAAAAAAAAGATGTTGTGTCCCACAAAAAAAAAAAAAAAAAAAAAAAAAAAACCTTAAAAATTCTCTCTCTATCTCTCTCTCTCTCTCTCTAAAAAACAAGACAACAACAACAAAAAACAAAGGTACCTCCTCCAAACAAAACAAAACAAACCTTAAGAAGGGCTTGGGATGTGGCTCAGTGGTTAAACACCCCTGATTTTAATCCCCGGTACCAAAAAAAAAAAAATTATCAGTTTGCAGCCTTATATAAATCACTTAGCTTCTTAGGTAATTGATGTCTTCGTCTGTAAAATAGCATATCTATGTGTTTTGTGTGTGTGTGTGTGTGTGTGTGTGTAAGATCTAACAAATTATTAGAGCAACTGTTTTAAATGAAGGATTAGGATTCTCATGTCTATTGCAGATGCTTTGTGATTTTGACTTAATTCTGCTTCAGTCTTCCCCTCCCCCAGATGATAGTCTGTTGTCTCCCCCACCTTTTTTTTTTTTTTTCCCCCAGTACTGAAGATTAAACCCAAGGTCTTGAATGTTGGCAAGTGCTCTACCATTGAGCTACATCCCCAGCCCTGTCCCTTTTTCTTTTTGCTGCTAAATTTGGCTACTTAAATATGCTTAGCAGGGATGACATTCTAATTAGTTTTCCCCATATTTTAATTTTCAAATATGTCAAGCCTGCAGGTAAAGTTGAAATAATAGTACAGTGATACTCTTTCTATCCCCTTTAACTAGATTTACTGTTAGCTGTTTGCCACATAAGGGTGATACACACACACAGCGTACTGAAAGTGAGTTACAGACAAGATACTTCATCCTTAATTACTTGTCATTAATCTAAGAACAAAAATATAACATCATTATCACACTCCCAAAATCTGGCATTGATAGAGTAGCATTAGTAAGTAGTCCATATTCAAATTTTTTGTTTCTGTCCTGTCTTTCAAGCTAACCCCACTGCTACCCTGCTTTAATTCAGGAATTTGATATATAATAATCTATTCTGATGATGAAAAGCTCTCACTAATTTGATATAGTATTATCTATCTCATTATATTAATTCTTTATTCTAATATTAGGTTCTTCCCTGTGGCAACTCACAATGATGGATCAAGCCAGATCAGCAATCTCTAACTTGGTAAGATATTTTTAATTATATTTTTGTCTGCAAGTATGTGAAGTATAAAAGCCTGACTTTCACCCAGCAAGCATGATATAATATCCCCAACTATACTTATGTGATCTTTTACATTTGAACTAGGTCTTGAGGCATATACAGATCCCATAAAGGAAGGGTATATCCAGGCTTTTGTGTGTGTGTGTGTGGGGGGGTACTGAGAATTGAACCCAGGGATACTCTACGACTGAGCCTTAATCCTTTTTTAATTTTTTATTTTGAGATAGTATCTCACTAAATTGCCAGGCTGGCCTCTAACTTGAAATTGTATGTACCTCAGCTTCCTGAGTAGCTGGGATTACATGTATATGTCATCACACATATAGGGTAGATTCATATAGGCTGTAGATTCACTTGTGGGTTTTTTTGTTTGTTTGGTACTGGGGATTGAACTCAGGGTCACTTGACCACTGAGCCACATCCCAGGCCTATTTTGTATTTTATTTAGAGACAGGGTCTGACTGAATTGTTTAGCGCCTCGCCTTTGCTGAGACTGGATTTGAACTCGCAATTCTCCTACCTCAGCCTCCCCAAGTCACTGGGATTACAGGTGTGCACCACCATGCCCAGCTAGATTGTTTTTGTTTTTTAATATTTTTTAGTTGTCAGTGTACCTTTATTTTATTTATATGTGGTGCTGAGAATCCAACACAGTGTCTTACACATGCTAGGCAGGCTCTCTACCACTGAACTACAACCCCAGCCCTAGATTCAGTTTTGGTTTTTTTTTTTGTTTGTTTGTTTGTTTTTTAATATCTAGCTTCAGGTATTTTATTATAGCAACAGAAAATGCCCCCTGGTATGATCCACCCTTCCTCTGGGAGCACTCCCAATACCAAGATATGTTCCAATGTTTGTGTGAAGACAGGAATAGATTCAGTTCTGATTAAGATTAATTATGGAAAATATTGTAGAAGCTTCAGGGTGTTTGGGTATGTTTGGTTATGTTGGTTCTATTTGATAGGATGAACTAAGGAATATCTAGAGGGTATCACAGGAAGCCAGGCATGTAGGTGTATAGGTATAGTCCCAGCTACTTGGGAGGCTGAGGCATGAGGACCTTTGAGTCCAGCTTAGGCAGCACAGCAAGACCTGATATCTTAGTATGAAGAATTCTCTTTTAAAAATGTGTAGAGGAGGGGCTATAGCTGTAGTTCAATGGTATAGCATTTGCCTAGCATGTGTGAGGCACTGGGTTCCATCTCAGCACCGCATCTAAATAAATAAATAAAGTTCCACTGAAAAAAAATTTTTAAAAATTGTATAGAGGAGCTGGGCACAACTTGGGAGGCTGAGGCGGGAGCATCGCAAATTCAAAGCCAGCCTCAGTAACGGTGAGGTGCTAAGCAACTCAAGTGAGACCCTGTCTCTAAATAAAATATAAAATAGGGCTGGGGAGTTGGTGTAGGAGTTGAGTGCCCTGGTACAAAAAAAAAAAAAAAAAAGTATAGAGGAGATATACAAACAGAAATCCTGAATGAAAAAGCTTAATGAAGAAGACCAGTATGTGATCTAGCCCTCATCTGCCATTGACAGAACTGGGCAGAGGGAAGGTTGTTAATTTGAAAGAGAAACTTCTTTTCCTTTAATAATGTATATCAGGTAGGTCGGGCATGGTGGTACACACCTGATATCCCAGTTTGAGAGGCTGAGGCAGGAAGATCACAAGTTCAAAAACAGCTTTAGCAACTTAGCTGAGACCCTGTCTCAATTTTTAAAAAAAGGGACTGGCGTTTTCACTCAATAATTAAGTTCCCCTGTGTTCAATCAATCCCTGGTACAATACAACAATAACAACAAAAACTCTATCAGGTGATAGTAATGGTCCAAGTATGGTACTTGTGCATGTGCATTTTCATGGTGGCATACACCTATACTCTCAGCTTCTCAGGAGGCTGAAGTAGTAGGAGATTTTCAAGTTGAGGGCCAGTCTAGGCAACTTAGTGAGACCCTGTCTTAAAATAAAACAGGCTGTGAAATGTAGCTCAGTTGTATAGTGCCTAGCAAGTTCTAGGACTTGGGATCTATTCCAGTACCACCACTACCACCCCCCACCAAAAAAGAAAAGAAAAACCAAGTTTAGTACTTGAGCAAGCTTTTGTAAATGTTCCTAATTCCTTTTTTTTTTTTTTTTTTCTCCATAATGCTTTCTTTTTTTTGTTAAATCTCAGTTTGGTGGAGAACCATTGTCATATACCCGGTTTAGTCTGGCACGCCAAGTAGATGGAGATAATAGTCATGTCGAGATGAAACTAGCTGTAGATGAAGAAGAAAATGCTGACAGTAATATGAGGGCCAATGTCCCCAAATCAAAAAGGTTTAACGGAAGTATCTGCTATGGGACTATTGCTGTAATCATCTTTTTCTTGATTGGTAAGTGTTTCTTCTAACCAATTTTGAGAAGTCTATTTTAGCTCAGCAGATCGTTATTTTGTACCTTTAAATATCACTATGCTAGACACTAGCAGTACAATGATAATTAATACTTTATACCTGCCATTGAATTTAATGTAGTAGAAGAGAGATACACAAATAATTTTTATTTTATTTTTTTTTATTATTTTTTAATTTTTTATTGTGGGTTGTTCAAAACATTACAAATTTCTTGACATATCATATTCCACACTTTGATTCAAGTGGGTTATGAACTCCCACCTTCACCCCATACACAGATTGCAGAATCACATCAGTTACACATCCATACAAATAATTTTAATATCTTGTGCATATCTTATGCTAGAAACATACACAGGTTATTTGAAGCAAAGAAACTCAGCCTGAGGTTTCAAGGAAGGCTTCTGATGAGAAAGCATACCTACCTAGAGTTTGAACAAATAAACTGTTTAAGTAGTTACTGTATAATAGATTCAATAGTTTAAAATCTCTGAAACAGAAATGCGTTGTATACTTTAAAATTAGTTAGAATTTAATTAAAATCAGTATTTTCAAGATTTAGCTTAAAATTAACGATTTCTATGGGTGTAGATTATTAATAAGTTCTACAAGTTTATTGCTCAAACTTTTTTATCTTCAGGATTTATGATTGGTTATCTCGGCTATTGTAAACGAGTAGAACCAAAAACTGACTGTGGAAAATCAGGAACAGGGGTGGAGGAATCAGAAAACTCAGAAGCAGAAGAGGACTTCCATGAAACACCTTCTCGCTTGTATTGGGCAGACCTTAAAGCAATGTTGTCAGAGAAACTGAATACCATAGATTTCACCAGCACTATCACGTAAGTTTGAATTACTTCACAAGTTCATCTTCAATGTCTAAATGCATATTACTGATTATTAGGTGGCAGTGAAAGAAAACAAGGCTGAGTCTTGAGGAGAGGCTTTTTAGGGTAGGGGAGATTTCCCAATAGCTACAGAAAAAAAAAGGGGGTCAGCAAGGAATTGAAACTCGGCAGTAGTGGAGAAAAGTTAGAACTTTCCTGGGAATTCTCCATTGAAAATTTCATAGCTTTGATCTTTTTGCCATCCTTTTTTTTTTTTTGTAGCTTATTGCTCATTATCAAGACTTTTCTGCTTTGATCAGTTCCATCTTAGCCTTTTGTCACAACGTGTTGAGCTCTGCTACTGTCCACAAGGGCATAGTTTCTTTCATCTTCTACAGTCATGACTTATTTGACTGCCTGACTTGATATGTGCTCTACTATTTCTTGATTTCTGCTGGTTCTCACTCATTAATTCATAACCCAAGAGATATCCTTATAAAGTTTCTGTCCCATCTTCCTCAACACATGTCTCTGTGTAAAAAACAAATCATCTTTTTACCTTTTGCTAGCTTCCTACATTTTCAATGTAGGAATTCTTTCGGTCTTAAATTAGCAATTTTGGTATTTTACTTCATAGGCATTATGGACAAATTAAGTGTGGTCCATGGGAGACAGGGGCAAAAAATTAGTGTGCTGAGTATCATTAGTAAGAACCATGTGAGTTCTGACAGTTTTGCTTCCAGGGGATTCAAAATGCCTCAAAGAAGTAAAAATTGAAACTACACATCTTTTTTCTTCTGATTTTTTTTCTATCTGGTCAATTAGGAAGTTTGGGTCATAGTTCATTTAATTGTGAGGATAATTCTGAGCTCTGGGATTAAAACACTTTGCTTGGTGATTGGGATAAATGTTTTAACAGACTTTTTTCCCTCTAGGCAATTGAATCAAAATACATATGCCCCTCGTGAGGCTGGGTCTCAGAAAGATGAAAATCTTGCCTATTTTATTGAAAATCAATTCCGTGAATTTAAACTCAGCAAAGTCTGGCGTGACGAACACTATGTTAAGATTCAGGTCAAAGGCAGGTATGTCAAAAGATCTATAAACTTATTTTATAGAAGTAATGACTTTCAAGTCATGCTAACATAGCAATGACTTTAAAAGTAAAAAATAAGTTTAAGATTTAGAGCAAAATTCCCTCAAGCCAGATAATTCAAGTCTGATACTAAATGTATTCAAGCTATTTAATATATTTTTCCCCAAGGTTGGTCTTAGCTTCATTTTAATTTAATCTTTTTTTAGCCATGTTCAAGACTCGGTGATTCTATTGAATAATAGCCTGGCATACCTGTTGGAGAATCCAGAGGGTTACGTGGCATACAGTAAAGCAGCAACAGTTACTGTAAGTAAGGCAAAACAGTGCATGAAACACTACTCTGATGAATAGCTCTCCTCTTCACTCATTTTGCTCTGGTCACTTTGACCTTCTTGTTGTTTACCATTTAAACTCAAGCATGTTCCTATCTCAAACCTTTTATAAAGTTTTATAAGACTTTTATGAAGTTTTATAAAACTTGCCTTCCATGGGGTGCTGTGATGCACCCCCATCTGTATCCCAGCAACTTGGAAGGCTGAAGCAGGAGCAGCACAAACTCCATGCCAGCCTCTGCAACATAGGGAGTCCTAAGCAACTTGGCAAGACCTTGTCTTAAAATAAAAAGGATTGGGGATGCAAAAAAGTAGCTTCCCTCTAATTACTTTCCTCTTACTGTTTTTTGTTGTTGTTGTTGTTTGTTTGTTTTGTTTTTCCCTTTCATATACTTCTAGCACCTAACACCAACTATTTATTTCCACTGAATGTAAACTAGAGATTAGTTTCATTTATGACATGTCCCACAGCCTTGGAGAGTGCCAGACACATGGTGGTATTTGCTAATGAATGCACATATCAAACTCCCCTTTGGAACAGCTAAATAGCCACCTTGGGCTGGGGGTGTGACTCAGTGTTGGTAGCATGCTTGTCTACATGTATATACAAAGCCCTGGGTTTGATCACCATAAAAGTAAATAATAAATTGTCAGATTATTTGCCAGTTATAAATCATACATTTGTATGTTGGCTTTATATTTAATGGGTGCCTTCTGCGCCAGATGAAGTTTTATGGTGGTTTTCTGCATTCCTGATTGGTCACCTGTATCATTTGGAGATGGGGAGATTGTTTTGTTATGTAACATTGAGATTTTAGTTCATCTGCAATTTTTCTATATTCAGATATTGGGTTATTAATGTTAGTTTATAGCTAGCTGTTCACTAATAGTGAATACTAATAGTTTAGAAACTTGATGACAACTTATGCAAACATCTAAAAGTTGGTTTATGCAAGTCACATTATTTTAATATAGTATTTAAACAATTTTTTAGAAAGATTTATTATACTCTTCAGTTAAAACTTAGGCATGTCCTTAATTGTCTGAGATTCAGGAATGGAAATCTTATGTCATTGGTGCTTCTATGATAGCCTGTATATGCCTCTGTGTTTAGTATATCCTATTATCACTTTTTTTCCCCAGAAATAGCCGAAGCAATGTAAAATAGTGTTTAAATTAAAGCCATCATGTGATAAGCAAAAGCATAAATAAAGGAAGCTGGGAATCTTGGTTTTACTCCTGATAACTGACCAGTTTTGACATTCAGAACTTTACAATATCTTTTTGGCTTTGACCCCCCACTTTTTTTCCCTCCCTTTCTTGGTTTCCTCTTTCAGATTCTATAGCTGTTCTGATACAGCTCATTAATGCTCATTAAACCTACTGTCTTTGTTCTAGGGCAGATTGGTTCGTGCTAATTTTGGCACTAAAAAAGACTTTGAGGATTTAAATGTTCCTGTTAATGGATCTTTAGTGATTGTTAAAGCTGGGAAAATCACTTTTGCAGAAAAGGTGAGTATGGGTTACCAAATTCAATGGTATCTTACTAGTTAGTTAAATGCTATTTCTTGTCAATTTTCTCAAATTTCATTTATCTAAAATCATAGGATATTTCAAAACTATGGCATATTCACTTCCTAGTATTTTGTAGCCAACCATCATTGTCTATCAGTGAAAATGAAATAATAAAAAAATGCTTAAATGAGCAGGGCATGAGCACACTCCTGTAATCCCAGTTACTCTGTAAGCTGAGAGTATCACAATTTCAGGGCCAGCCTCAGCAACTTAGGGAGGACCTAAGTAGTTCAGTGGTTGAGCCTCTGTGTTCAGTCTCCAGTAATAAAAGGAAAAAAAAAAAAAAGAAGAAGCTTAAATGAAAGCAATTTAAATTATGTCTGTATAACCCGGCTTTATGTGTGTATAGAATTCAGTTATGTTTTATTAAAGAGGAAATTAAAACATGCTACACAAAGGACAAGATCGTAAAATATTTTCCATATTTTTTTATTGGTGCATTATAGTTGTATGTAAAGGTAGGATTTGATATTATGTATGCATGTATGAATATAACAACAATATGATCTGGCCAATATAATTCTCCAGTATTTCCACTTACCCTCAACTTGTCCTGCCTGGTCCCTTTTCTCTATCGATCTCCCTTTGATTTTCACAAGGAACCCACTCCCCTTTTCTTTTTTTTTTCCTCTCTAGCTTCTACATGTGAGAGAAATTTCTGATCCTTGACCTTCTGAGTTTGGCTTATTTCACTTGACATGTTCTCAAGTTCCATCCATTTTTCTGAAAATTACATTTTATTTTTTATATAACTTTGTTTACTTTTTAATGTGGTGCTGAGGATCAAACCCAGTGCCTCACCCGTGCTAGGCAAGCACTGTACCACTGAGCTACAGCTCCAGCGCCTCGTTTTTCTTTATGGCTGAATAAAACTCCATTGTGTATATGTACCACATTTTCTTTATTCATCCATCTATTGATCAACACCTAGGTTGGTTCCATAATTTGGCTGTTGTGAATTGTGCTGCTATAAACATGGGTATGCATGTATCACTATAGTATGATGACTTTAATTCTTTAGGATAAATATGGAGGAATGGTATAGCTGGATCATATGGAGGTTTCATACCTAGACTTTTGAGGAACCTTTATACTAATTTCCATAATGGTTGTACTAATTATAGTCCATCCAACAGTATAAGAGTGTTCCCTTTTCAACATATCCTTTATTATTGTTTGTATTCTTTTTAAAATATTTTTTAGTTGTAGATGGACACAATACCTTCATTTTTATTTATTTGTTTTTATGTGGTGCTGAGGATCAAACCCAGTGCCTCACATGTGCTGGGTGAGTGAGTGCCACAGCCACATCCCTTATTGTTTGTATTCTTGAAGACTGTCATTCTGATTGGTCTGAGATAAAATCTCAGTGTAGTTATGTTTTTCATTTCCCTAATTGCTAATGATGTTGAACATTTTTTTTCCCATATATTTTTGGCCATTGTAAGAAGTGTCAATTTAGTTCATTTGCCCATTTATTAATTGGGTTAGTTGGTTTTTTTGTTTGTTAAACTTGTTCTTTATGTTTTCTGGATGTTAATCCTCAGAAAAATTTCTCCTATTCTGTAGGTTCTCTCTACACATTCTCAAGTGTTTCCTATGCTTGTAGAAGCTTTTTAACTTGATGCCATCTCATTTATTAACTCTTGGAATTATTTTCTGAGCTAGGGGTCCTATTGAGAAAGGGACTGGAAAATATTAAAAGACTGGTTATCTTGAATCAATTTTCAAGATTCTCTGTAATTTGTTAAGTTTCAAGGGATTTTTTTTTTTTTTTTTTTTCTAAATGTATAAGATACTTGAAACTTTTGGGAATATCAGTTTAGTCCTGTAACAATTTGTTCTTTAGCTTAAAGTCCAATGTATATTATTCTTACCTTATATGATTAGATCTTCATTTTCTGACTATGTTTTTCTGTAGGTTGCAAATGCTGAAAGCGCAAATGCAATTGGTGTCTTAATATACATGGACCAGGCTACGTTTCCCGTTCTTAAGGCAGACCTTGCAGTCTTTGGACATGTGAGTTCTTATTTCTTAATTCAGTGAGTTTTTGAGTTCTCCTAATTGTTACTGGTTCCACCTACCTTAATAGAATTAAAACTATGCACTGGACATGGTGGAGCATGCCTGTAATACATGTGACTAGGGAGGCTAAGGCAGGAGGATCACAAGTTTAAAGCCAGTCTTTGCAACTTAGAGGTTGGGTATATGGCTCAGTGGTTAGATGCCCTTGGGTTTAATCCCTGGTTCCAAAAAAAAAAAACAACTAAATAGAACTATGCCTCCTTTAATACTTCTTTAATAGAATTTTAATAGGAAGTAGGGAGATAAGTACTTTATCAGTAATGTCTTGAGCTGCCAGGGTGGGTGCATGCCTGGGGTTCAAGCAGAGGATGAGGCAGGAGAATTTTAAGTTCAAGGCCAGCCTGGGTAACTTGGTGAGACCTTGCCTCCAAAGGGTGTGTGTGTGTAGAGGGGGGGTGGATCTGGGGCTATAACTCAATGATAGAGTGCCCTGGGTTCAGTTCCAGTACCATAAAGAAAATAAGGTGTATATAGTGCCTTGAATTGAAATTGCTAAAAATATTTATTGCCAAAAATACTTCATCAGTAGTGCTTTGAATTGAGAATTTGGCCTATGCCATCTAAAAATAAGTGTTACATATTATGGAGCCACTTAGACTTTAGGTTGTTGAACTAGCTTGGGCTGTGTAGCCTCATACCAATCTGAATCTTCTAGGTAACTTCTTAAGTGGCAGAGAGAACTAATTAACTCTTTCATTTCTGTTTACTAGGCTCATCTGGGAACAGGCGACCCTTATACACCTGGATTCCCATCTTTCAATCATACTCAGTTTCCTCCATCTCAATCATCAGGATTGCCTAATATACCTGTCCAAACAATTTCCAGAGACTGTGCAGAAAAGCTGTTAGCGTAAGTTATTATTTGAAAGCTGTCTTGTAAGATGAGGTTTTATAAGAGAAGACTGACTAATAAGCTTAAATTGATCTAATAAAACCTGAAAATAATTGTGTATAATTTTTCACATTTGGGAATTTGGGGAATACTTATTTAATAACTTGGTATGAATAAAATGAAAAAATTCTCTATAAAATGATATTGATAATAGATATTAGATTTATAAACTCAGGAATTCTTGTTCAATTTGGTCAGTGAATTCATTGTGTGGTATTCTGGCATAACTTCTGCTTGAGTCCTTTTTATGGTAAAGCATGTTGTTACCTATGGTAACTTATTAAATTATAGGAGAAAATATGTTAGAATTCATGTTGAGCTGCAGTAACACTGTAACATCCACTAGTATTTGGGTGATTTTCTTTGGTAGCACAGAATTATTCTGGTTTCCTGGTCTATGTTGAATGTCCTCAGTTCTCATAATAGTTTTCAAATGTTTTATGGTCATAATTAATTCTTTTGGATAATCCTCCCTAATACACAAGTACCTCTTAAAAGCAGAGTATAACCAGCTGTGGTAGCACTTGCCTGTAGTCCCAGTACTCAAGAGGCTGAGGCTGAGGCAGGATGTTCGCTTGAGCCCATAGACCAGCCTGGGCAACATAGTGAGACCCCCATCTCAAAACAAGAAATATTCCAGTCTGAAAGTACACATATCATTAATTTTTTTCTGCCTAATATTGTCATACAATAGATATCTAATTTTAGATCTTTATTCAAACTTTGAAAAAATTGAGTTATAGTAAGGGGTAATAATTGTTTTTTTGTGGGGCGGTTACTGGGGATTGAACTTGGGGGACACTCAACACAGAGCCACATCCCCAGCCCTTTTTTGTATTTTACAAAACCAAATCTTTACTTATTTCAGAGTGTTTTATTTTTCCTGTGGTGCTGAGGATTGAACCCAGTGACTCACATGTGCAGGCAAGCACTCTACCAAAAAAAGAACCCCAGTCCCCTTTTTTGTGTTTTATTTAGAGACAGGGTTTCACTAAGTTGCTTAGCACTGCCTCACTGTTGCTGAGGCTGGTTTGAACTCTATCCTGTACCACCCATGGGCGTAATGTTTTGATGCAGGTTTTTTTTTTTTTAAACGAAACATTAGGGAAAGATAACTAACTCCCAGCAACATAGGAATATTCTTTTGTAATAGATGAGAATATACGTTACCTTTGGTGGAGAAAGCTGGGAAATATGAATTATATTAATGGACTTTTATGATCTTCGTTCTGAGTACATCTTGGCATGTATTTCAAATGTAAACTAGCTTTGTCTCAGGCAGATGAGAGTAAGGAGACATTTAAAAATATTGTTAAACTAGGAAATAACTCATGGTTTTCAAATAACTGCCTACTGATTAGAGTAAGAGGAAAATGGTTGACCACTAGGGATTAAATTTTTTATATTCTCTTTATGTGTCCTTTGAACCTAGAACCTGGACAGACTGTAGGACTGATTTTCCAATCCTTACAGAAATAACAATAACCCAGATCTTTGCCTGTTTTCTACTTCTAGAAAAATGGAAAAAGACTGTCCTTCTAGTTGGAGAACAGACTCTTCATGTAAGATGCAATTCCCAGAGAATATGAATGTGAAGCTATCTGTGAACAATGTGCTGAAGGAGATAAAAATTCTTAATATCTTTGGAGTTATTAAAGGCTTTGAAGAACCAGGTAAAAAAAGACCTTTGTTTTGTACTTTTTCCATTGATTTTTTTTTTTTTTTTAATTCTCCCCTTAGGCATGTGGCCAGAGAAGTAGGGAGTGCAGGAAGGCTAGCATGGGTTGGTTTTATGAAGTGCTAAATCTTATCTGTCCTCACCTGGACTGTGGTGTTATCAGCCTTATTGGGAGGTAACAAGACCCTAGTTTAAAACTGACCATCATTACTAGACTAGGGATAAGCACATTTTTAATCTCCGATGTTCTATGTCTATGTGTAGTTAGGCTCTTTTATACTTAATGCATACTCTACACTTTACTGGCATGCTGCTTATTCTAGACTTAATTATTAGAAAACAGTTTTAAAGCTCATCATAGCTGGATGCTGTGGTGCACACCTGTAATCCCATCAGTTGGGATGCTGAGGCAGGAGGATCGCAACTTCAAAGCCAAACCCCAGCAACTTAGCAAGACCCTGTCTCTAAAATAAAAAAGGGCTGGATATGTGGTTCAATGATTAAGTGCCCCTAGGTTCAATCCTTGAAACAACAACAACAAAAAAGGTCAGGTGCAGTATTGCTTGCCTGTGATCCCATTTTCTCAGAAGACTTGAGTAAATTCAAGACTAGCCTTACAACTTAGAACAGGGTAGGGTATAAGCACCCCTGAGCACTATTTTTTATAATTTTTTAGTTGTAGATGGACACAACACATTTATTTATTTTTGTAGTGCTGGGGATTGAACCCAGGACCTTATGCATGCAAGGCAAGCTCTCTACCAACTGAGCTGTGCCCAGTATTCAACCCCGTGCCTCACACATGCTAGGCAAGCAAAATGCTCTACCACTGAGCTACAACTCCAGCTCTCTGAGCGATATTTTTTTAAAAAAAGAATAAACTCAATTGTGTAAAAAAGTAATTTATTTTCTTTTTCTCCCCACCCCTCCAAGATCGCTATATTGTAATAGGGGCCCAGAGAGATTCCTGGGGTCCTGGCGCTGCAAAATCCAGTGTAGGAACAGCTCTTCTCTTGGAACTTGCCCGGACATTTTCAGATATGGTTTTAAAAGGTAAAGTACAAAGTTTGAGACCTTTGAACCTTTATGTACTATGTTTAGTTCTAGATATTATTATATGCTTTCTTCACTTTTGCCTATCTTCTTAGGATTCTCTTATGCTAATTTTTAAACATAAGGTAGATTATCTTTTCTTTTAGTTGCTTTTGACTTTGAAATGACTCTAATGAAGGGTCTTATTGAATCATAGGGGTTTTTTTAATATTTATTTTTTAGTTGTAGATGGACACAATACCTTTATTTTTATGTGATGCTAAGGATCGAACCCAGGGTCTCTGATGTGCTAGGCAAGCACTCTACTCCTGAGCCACAATCCTAGCCCAAATCATCAGGTTTTTTGGATATTGGAAAAGTATTGAGCCTTGTTTTTTTTTTTTTCCTTCTCCAATTTGACATATCCAGAATGACATGCCAAATTTAATAGTGGCATATATGAAGGTGCTAAAGCCAAACAAAATGATAATAATATTCTGTTTATTTTCAAGCTTTTCTATGGTACTTGCCACTCTTCCAACCCACCTACACACATAATGCAAACCCATATTATGCTTGAACCTTTCAGTTACATAGTAAATTGGTTAACTTTTATACAAAATACATTGATACAGAAAAGTAATTATCTTGCATAATTATTGGGATGGAGAGCAGTGTCATATGTAGTTCCAAAAGGAGCTGCCGTAAATGTGATTTCTCTAGAAACTTCCCATAACTTAAATTTCTGAGTTTTTGTTCTATTTCATAAGTATTGTTCACATGGGTGTGGTGGTGCATGCCTGTCTTCTCAGCTGCTTGGAAGACTGAGGTGAGAGGATTGCTTGAGCCCACAAGTGTGAAGTCAGCTTGGGCAATGTAGTGAATGAATGAACAAACAAAAACCCTTTAAATGACTTTGCTGCTAAGCAGATTGTTCTCAAAGAAGATAGATATCACAGGGCATGGTGACTCATGTCCATAATCCAAACCATTTAGAGACTGGCACCAAAGGATTGCAAATTCAAAGTTCTTGTTTTGAGGGCTGGGTATGCAGCTCAATGGTAGAGAGTGCCCCTGGATTCAACCCCTAGTACTCCCCACCTACCAAAAAAAATATAGATTATAGAAGATGCACATCACACTTGCACTACGATTTCCAAATATTTTTTGATTCAGGAGTTAAGGTACTCCAAGAGCCAGATCATTGGTGCACTCTTGTAATCTCAGTGATTTGGGAAACTGAGGCAGGAAGAGCTCAAGTTCAAGGCCAGTCTCAGCAATTTAGTGAAGCCCTAAGCAACTCAACAAGATCCTGTCTCAAAATAAAAAGGGTTGGGAGTGTTAGGCTTATGCCTATAATCCCAACAGCTCTGGAGTTTGAGACAGGAGGATTGGGAGTTCAAAGCCAGCCTCAGCAATGGTGAGGTGCTAAGCAACCCAGACCCTGTCTCTAAATAAAATACAAAATAGGCCTGGGGATGTGGCTCAGTGGTCAAGTGCCCCCCCCGATAACCCCCCCCCCCCCCCCAGCAACAACAACAAAAAAACAAAGGGACTCAACAAAAGGAGTAACTATTGTGTACTTGAAATTTTATTGGTAGAGATCTCATTCTACCCTTTGTAGATCACTTAAAAATTTTATTCCTATTCCTTTAGCACTCTTTACCTGGGGTCTCAATAGGAAAATCAATATTTTAAAATCTTCTATTTTGAATTAGAAGCTTTATTATGTCAGTTACTTGCCTGTACCCCTTTCCCAACGTTAATCTAATTTTTTTGTTCTCTTTCAGGTGGGTTTAAACCCAGCAGAAGCATCATTTTTGCCAGTTGGAGTGCTGGAGACTTTGGAGCGGTTGGTGCCACTGAATGGCTTGAGGTATTCTTTACATATCATTTGTACTCAGAACAGCCATCTGAACTTGTATTGACTTTTGCTGTCCTGTAGAAATTGCTCTTTTAGGTTTATTTATACCATTTTAGAATCCAGATGTAAAAATGAATCCCTAATAAGAGCTAATGTAATAGATAGATTAATACTTATTAACTCAAATATATATTAATTCATACTCATTAATATTTTCTTTTTTAGGGATACCTTTCTTCTTTGCATTTAAAGGCTTTTACTTATATTAATCTGGATAAAGTTGTTCTTGGTAAGTATCCTTTTCACTAGTAATTTTATGAATTCAGGTAAACTCTGAAACAACATAAGAAAAGTTCATAAAGGATAAAGGAGGGGGCTGGGGATGTGGCTCAGGCGGTAGCACATTTGCCTGGCATGCGTGTGGCCCGGGTTCGATCCTCAGCACCACATACAAACAAAGATGTTGTGTCCCTGAAAACTAGAAAATAAATTTTTTTTAAAAAAAACCCTCTCTTTAAAAAAAAAAAAAAAGGATAAGGGAGGCAGTTGTGATTGATATATATAAAAAATACTGGACATAATCAGCTCTAAATAATCCATGAGGTTACTGAATGGACACAGATTGACTTGTCTAGAGCAGTGGGTCTCAGTGTGGTCCCCTGATCAATTACATCAGGACTATTAGGAATGCACACTTCAAGGCCCCACCCTAGATCTTTTGAGTCAGAAACTGGAACATAAGTCAAACAAACTGTGTTTTAAGTTTTAGAACCACTAATCTGGTCCATATTTTAGACCAGAAAGAACTAACCCATACCATATAGAGCAGAACTTCTAATTCATATCCTGCTGGATTGTGGCAGCACTGATAGAAATACTAGATAATCGAATTCATGAAAGAGTTTGCATGTTACTTAAAGTTTATATGTAGTTAATGAATGGACTAAAAATAGTAAAAAGTCTACTTTGGAAAGAAAAAGGTGATATAATTAAACTAAAATCTTTCTTATATCACTCATTATTTCTGTGTTTTACTTCTGTAGCAGAATGTATTGAGTATAGTACATTTACTTTAACTAGCAGGTGACTGCCAGGCCTAACTTGGGGGAATCAAAAAGATTTTTTAAAAAAATCAAAATACAGATTATAGGAGAGATTATGTGTGGGATATCTATGGGAAATCATTGTATCTCCTCTTAATTTTGCTATGAACCTGAAATTACTCTTTTAAAAAAAGTCTCAAAATCACAAAGGTATTGTAAAGTCAAGGACTAAGAGCCTGAGTTGAGTCAATTAAGAGTTCTCAGAGAAATGAATGACAGTAGAGGGGGTAGAGAGAGAAGAGGGGAGGGGAGGGGAGGGGGGATAGTAGAGGATAGGAAAGGCAGCAGAATACAACAGACACTAGTATGGCAATATGTAAATCAATGGATGTGTAACTGATGTGATTCTGCAATTTGTATACGGGGTAAAAATGGGAGTTCATAACCCACTTGAATCAAAGTGTGAAATATAATATATCAAGAACTATGTAATGTTTTGAACAACCAACAATAAAAAATTAAAAAAAAAAAAAAAGAGTTCTCAGAATTGCTAAAGATCTTGGCTCCTCAACTACTTTTTTTTGTATACTTTGTTACTATTTGTTAAGTGCCACAGCTATAGGTAGGTTACTCTCTTCCGTTCTTATTTTTTTTTTAGTTGTAGAAATCTCAATGTGAAATGTACTTAATGGAAAAGGGGCAATGTTAAAATAATTTCTTTGCAGGTACCAGCAACTTCAAGGTTTCTGCCAGCCCTCTCTTATACAGGCTTATTGAGAAAACAATGCAAGACGTGAGTGTATAACTAATTACAAAAATGTATAACTTTTTTGTCATGTTTATATAAGATGAAAAATATTTAGGCCATTATCAGTAACCAATGGTAAAAATTTAGCATAAATTTTATAATAGCATTATTTAAGTCATGCTCTTGTTTTGTTAATCCCTAACCTGTTGAACTGCGTGAGGTGAGGAAGGTAACACACACACACACAGAGCTCCAATCTCAAAGAATACATAATCTTCTTTGGAATATGTAACAAAATGCCAAGAGACCTTGAATTGTATTGTAGATGCCCACAGGACAGTGTGTATAAGTTGGAATGCTAAGGAAGGCTTAAATGGACTTAAATAAGTCCAGATGAAATATTCATTGAATAAAGACAAATGACTATAATTTTGAATGAGGGAGGAACACATGTTAAAGAGAATATTTGCTTAATGGATTTAGAGGATATATACTAGAGTTGGGAGAAAACAAAGGTAAGATACTGGATGTTGGCCTTGATCCTGTTGGAATCTAGAAATTACTATAGGGCCTCAAGGCAGTGATGTATTTGCTGGTTAGATTAGCAATATAAAAAGTGGTACAAGGAGGGACTCGGGTTGTGGCTCAGAGGTAGAGTGCTCTAGCAACCTGGGTTCTATTCTCAGCACCACATAAAGCAAAATAAAGACATGGTGTCCACCTATAACTAACAAATACATAAAAAAAAAAAAAAAAAAAAAGTGGTACAAGGAAGAAACCAGAAACAAGATAGGCATATCCAGAAGGCTAGATAAGAACATTTTAAATTGTGGTCAGGCCACCTGTAAAATGTCAATAAGGAAGACATTTTTTTTTTCTCATCATAAGTAATGGAATTGACATATAAATCTATAGGGTTAGCTTAAGAAATTTGAGCTGTTTTAACTGCTTTGAAGAAAATTTTTTTCAATGTCAATGTAAATATATAAATTATGAATATAATTTAGTGACTAGCCTGAATAAGTTCAGAAAAGTTAAGTTCTAATGATAATTTCTTATTTTATAGGTGAAACATCCACTTACTGGACTATCTCTGTATCAGGACAGCAATTGGGTTAACAAAGCGTAAGTTGAAAAGTGAATGAACAAGCCAAAAGAAAAGCAGAATCACCCAGTAGCACCTACTGTGTTAGGTAGAACTCCAAACTTCTTAACCTTGCAGCCACCTTAGCTATCCTTAGGAATATTCTATTTAAGAATTTATTTCGAGGCTAGAGGTGTGGCTTGGCAGCAGTCTGTTTTTTAGGAACCTTTCTAAAGACATGTTCTCTTTTCCTTGGCAGTGAGCAACTTTCCTTTGATAATGCTGCTTTCCCTTTCCTTGCATATTCTGGAATTCCAGCAGTCTCTTTCTGTTTTTGTGAGGTGAGTCTGAAGAGTTCTAAAGCATTATATGTTAGATCTTGTATTAGCTTTGAGACCAACTTTCCTAGAATGCTCAGATTTTTCAGAAGTTGTAATTACTGCATATTCCCTTATTATCAGTTTTAAAATGGACTTGTTGTCTCGGCTTAATGAACATTTGAGTTTATTACTAAAATTTCTTCAAAGAAGTATGAGTTTTACTAACAAGGCTTAGTTTCTTTAATGATTGAGTAGCCAGGGACTAAATATTGAATAATGCAGTATGGATATTTGCATTAAGCAGAAAGTTCTGCCAAACAATACTGATTGATTTTATATATATATATATATATATATATATGATTGCACAGATATTGCACAAAGTTCTAGATCTTTGTCTAGCAATGCTCATGTCATAAGCAGGGATATGGGTAAAAGCAGAAAATTTAAACAGGTGTAATTGTCATTAGGCAGAACTTCTTTTTTTTTTAATTTTAATATTTATTTTTTTAAGTTTTTCGGCAGACACAACATCTTTGTATGTGGTGCTGAGGATCGAACCTGGGCCACACGCATGCCAGGCGAGCGCACTACCGCTTGAGCCACATCCCCAGCCCATAGGCAGAACTTTGAACTGAGCATATTGTACAGAAATAAGATTGGCTTGACACAAGAGCCAGTTAGAAGGCACTGAAGGCCAGGCAGAATAAATAGAATGATGGAGTTGTCTGTACTGAAGTAGCTAGAGTAGCATTAGCATTGTGGGGTCAGATGGGAGTTGTTGATTTGTCATCAAATTGTCAATTCAGTAGAAGCCAGGTCCACAATTGAACTTTTTAATCATTGGGTGTTTTAGCTAGGACTAGGAGGGAAGAAAATATAAAGTTAGGGAGTGATAAAAGATGTGAATTTAGAGATATATGGTTGAAATTTTTTTGACCTTTTGCAAGAGCAGCAACATAAATGGATTGAATTAGCTGGTCATAATGTCTACTGGATGTCATGTCTTATGGTTGAAGGACTTTATGATTCCTATTGATCTTAAGAATATCTTTTAAAACTTCAAATGTAGTTTGAGATGACAAAGCCTAGAAGTTCTGGTTAGGAGGTACAGTCAGAAATGTACAGTCTGAAAGTAATGAATTAAAGTCAAAGGGATTATCGGTAAGAGTTTCACCGAGGACAATAGCAGGGAGTAGAGCGGAGGCATAAGAAATAGTTACTAAAGTTGTATAAGAAGCATCAAACATTTTGTTAGAAAGGTAATATGTATGAATGGACCAAGTGCTGCATGATTAGGAAGAAGGTAAATTTTAATCCAAGAATAACACTTTTTATAGTGCAATTCATGTATGCTTTTTCTCTTTCCCCATCAATATGGGCCAAGCTTCCCAAAGAGAACAAAGTATATAGCTTCAAGGAATTTGGTGTGAAATCTGTTCAGAGAATGTAATATGATAAAACATGAATTCTATAGGACCTGGATGGAAGAAATTAGTCATTATAGGAGAAGGATAGATTCAGAGGAAGTAGCAAGAATGTCATCTTCTTATAGAAGCAGATATGAGATAAAAGTGGGTGGGAATATATTAAAAATGAAGAATTGTGGGCTGGAGTTGTGGTTCAGCGGTAGAATGCTTGCCAGCATCACATAAAAATAAAGGCATTGTGTACAACTAAAAGAAGTATTTTTTTAAAAATGAAGAATTGCAGTAACTGTTACCTTGATGGTGGAGCTAGAATGTGAGGCCCCAACTCTTATAACCCCCGTGAGTACAGTAGCCTTCCTTTGTTTTCCAGAATGGGGATTATCCTTATTTGAATACTAATATGGATACCTATGATGTACTGATTAAAGAAGTCCCTCAGTTGGACAAAATGATGCGAACAGCTGCAGAAGTGGCTGGTCAGTTCATGATTAAACTTACCCATGACATTGAGTTGAACCTGGACTATGAGATGTACAACAACAAACTATTTTCATTTGTGAGAGATCTGAACCAGTACCGAGCAGATATAAAGGTAAACACTAATTAAAATTTATTTAAAAATAAATTTTATTAAAATTTAAGTTAATTTTTTAACTGATACCTAAAAGCATAAAATGTGTATTTATGGAGTACCATGTGAAGTTTTGATATACTGTATAATCTTTAAAATCAGGGTAAACATATCTTCTCAAACATTTTTTTCTGTTTAGGGCTGGGGATCTAGCTCAGTTGGTGGAGTGCTTGCCTTGCATGCACAAGGCCATGGGTTCAATCCCTTTTCAGAACTTTATACTTTTAATACCCACCGATGAGCTTTTACCCATCCCTCCCTCATTCCCTTCTCCCCAGACTGTGGTAACCACCATTCTACTCTCAACTTCTGTGAGATCCACTTTTTGATTATCCACATATGAATGAATGAGATCATGTAGTACCTTACCTCTCTGAGTCTAGCTTTTCACTTGACAAAATGATCTGTAGTTCTATCCATGTTGTCATAAACGACGGGATTTCATTCTTTTTTTTTTTTTTAATGACTGAATGATATTCTATTGTCTATGTGTACCAGCCACATTTTCTTTGTTCATTCATTGGTTGATGGACACTTAGGTTGTTTCCATTCCTTGGCTATTATGAATGTGCTGCAATAAATATGGGAGTACAGGTATCTCTTTGACACCCTGATTTCATATCCTTTAGGAATATACTCAGGAGTGGATTTGCTGAATCATATGGTAGCTTTAGTTTTAATTTTTTGAGGAACCTCTATTTTCCAATAATGGCTATACTAATTCACATTTCCACGAGACTAGGTTCTTATTGCTAAAGTATCCATCAGTTTGAAGTATGATATTCCTGGGGAGCTATATGATTGGCAACCAGAGAGAGAGAGAGAGAGAGAGAGTGTGTGTGTGTGTGTGTACTGGGAATTGAACACGAAGAGTGTTTTAAAGTAAATGGAGGTATAAGTTTGCTTTAGTATTCTACTCATTTGAAAAAGGAGGAAGCTTTGGGATATAAATTTAGGATAGAACACAGCACGTACTTCAGAATGTAGAGCTGTGTGGTGTTCTGTTGTGTCTGATCCCAGTCAACCTGTACATAGGTAAAACATGAAGATCTCAATTGTGAATATAGGTTGTATTCCTTTTGGACAATGCTCAAATGGAAAGAGCATACCAGTAGTTATTAATGTGGTGTCCAACTGGTTTTCTGGTATGAGGACCTGATTTAACAGGTTCTTAATTGAAGTAACTCACTGATAATTGAATTTTAATAATTATGGCTTTCTTGAAACTAATTGTAACTGTTCAGAAAATGGGACTCACCAGATAGAAATAATTAGATGTTGAAGTTCATTGAACCAACTTGTGGTTTTCCCCATAGGGAAATTAACTGGAAACAATGTAATACATAGGATTATAATTTTTCTTTAGTAAATTATGTTGAATTTCTCTTTTTTTTTTGGCGAGGGTACTGGGGATTGAACCCAGAGGTGCTTGACCACTGAGCCACATTCCCAGCCCTTTTTTTTTTTTTTTTAATTTTAATATTTATTTTTTAGTTCTTGGCAGACACAACATCTTTGTTCGTATGTGGTGCTGAGGATCAAACCTGGGCCACACACATGCCAGGCGAGCGCGCTACCGCTTGAGCCACATCCCCGGCCCATGTTGAATTTCTTAATGAGGATGGTTTTCTTATGAGATTAAGAATGGATAATTGTACTAGCTGCTGGGTTAAAAAAAATGAATGTATTACTGTGTTCATAGAGCCTCTGGTACAAGATGCTTCTAGTTTTGAGTCCCAAGTTTTCCTGTCAAGTCATTCCTTTTCTCTTCTGCTGGGCATGGTGGCATGCACTTGTAATCTTAGCTCAGCTTGGGAGGCTAAGCAGGAGGATTGCAGGTTCGAAGCCAGCCTTAGTAATTTAGTGAGGCCCTAAGCAACTTTTAACAAAGCCATGTCTCAAAAATAAATAAATAAATAAAACTACTCCTCAGTTGCCACATCTACATTATTAAAATGATACGTAAAATCATACTGAGGAAACACAACTTCTAATAGTGAATTTAATGTCTTTCCTTGACAGGAGATGGGCCTGAGTCTACAATGGTTGTATTCTGCTCGTGGAGACTATTTCCGTGCTACTTCCAGACTGACAACAGATTTCCATAATGCTGAGAAAACAAACAGATTTGTCATGAGGGAAATCAATGACCGTATCATGAAAGTAAGTAAACTTCTTAGTAATAGTACACTCCTGTAATTCCAGGTACTTACTGGGGAAGCTGAGGATCACAATCCCAAGTTAAAAATGGCTGGGGATATAACTCAGTGGTAGAGCTTACCACTGGGTTAAATCCCTAGTATCAAAACAAAAAAGGAGGAACTAGATGTGTAATTTTTAAATTTTTAATTTATTTTTGGGACTAGTGATCAAATCCAGGGGTGCTCAGCCACTGAGCTGCATTCCTAGCCATTTTTATTTTATTTTATTTTTTAATTGAAAATTGGCTGATGCCTTTTTAAAAATTTTTTTATTTTTTAGTTTTTTATGTGTTGCTGAGGATCGAACCCGGGTCCCGCCTGTGCTAGGCGAGCGCTCTACCACTGAGCCACAATCCCAGCCCCCCCACCCCCAGCCATTTTAAAAATTTTTGTTTTGAGACACTCTCACTCAGTTGCTGAGGTTGACCTCAAACTTTTTGATCCTCCTGCCTAGGCTTCCCATGTCACTGGGATTACAGGCATATGCCACGATGACCAATGAAGTGTGTAAAATTTTACTTGTTAAATTTACATTTGTAAAAAGTAGAGTAAATCTGGGAACCTAGAGTCCTTAGCTTATTTAGAATTGAAGGCAGATTTTAACTCTTAGCAAATCTAAAATCAACATATATAACCCAGCAATACAAGAAATATTTGGCTTTGAGGGTTTTTTTTTTTTTTTTTTTTTTTTTAAGACCTCTTTTTTGAGGGGTCATGGGTACCAGGGATTGAACCCAGAGGCACTCATCACTGACCGTATCCTCAGCCCTTTTTTATATTTTATTAGAGCAACTCCCTGAGTTGCTTAGGCCTCAGCCTCCCCAAGTGGCTGAATCACAGACATCATGTCCCGTCCCCTCTTTTTAGTACTTTATAAACACTTTGGGGGCTGCAGGTTTAGTTCAGTTGTAGAGTTAGAATGCTTAGCATGCACCAGGCTGTGAGTTTATCCCTAGGATCCGAAAAAACAGATCAATTGTTGCCTAAGTCAGACCGTAACTGTTTTATCCTAGTCTGCTTGGAAGGAACAGAGGATATCTGCTTGTACCCCAAAATCTCAATATAGTTAGTTCACTTTAACAGAGGAATGGACAGTTTGCTTCAGAATTTTAACTTTAGAAGGTTAGTGGCTTGGATTTCAAAGTTCTCAAAATCAGGACAGTCTAACATTTGAAGTGGGAGAACAATAGTTCTCAACAGTAGTGTTCTCTCTCTGCAGTCATAGCACTGTATAAGTTGCCCTGTTTTATTTTCATAGGTGGAGTATCACTTTCTTTCACCCTATGTATCTCCAAGAGATTCTCCTTTCCGGCACATCTTCTGGGGCTCTGGCTCTCATACGGTATCAGCTTTACTAGAGAACTTGAAATTACGTCAGAAAAATAATGGTGCTTTTAATGAAACTCTGTTTAGAAACCAGTTGGCTCTAACTACTTGGACTATTCAAGGAGTAGCAAATGCTCTATCTGGTGATGTTTGGAATATTGACAATGAGTTTTAAACATGATACCCTTAACTTACGTAAGAACATCAGGGTAGTTTGGTTTCTAGACTTGTGCTGGTTATGCTGAATTTTCAAGTAAGACTACAAAACCTAATGTTAAAATTCTACCCAGTCATCTCGATGCTACTAGATGTCTTTAGGTGGCAGCTTTTAATACAGGGTAGGAACCTGCATTTCAAGTTAAAGTGAGTAACCACCAAAAAAGTTCATGACAGAGTATTTTCTCTGATTATCTTTAAAATGTTAAGTGCTTTGTAAAGATAACTGCCTCTTTGCATTCTAATTAGGAAAATGTCAGAACCAGTTACATGAACTGTTGTTCTAAATCCCAAGGACAGGAGCTGACCTGAGCTGGTGTCTTTTCTTTATTCCCCCCCACCACCCCACCCCTCTGTACTGGGGGTTGAACCCAGCTGTGGTCCACTGAGGAACCTTTTTTTATTTTGCAACAGGATCTCAAAGTTGCCATGGCTGGCCTCAAATTTGCCATCCTCCTGCCTCAGCTTCCCAAGTTGCTGGGAGTATAGGCATGCACCACTGTACCCAGCTGAGCTGGTATCTTTTGAAGTGGAAGAAAGAAGGTAATTTCTAGTGAAGGCTGGAAATGGTATCTTGGTATGATCCTTCACTTTCATTTGATGCTAAGAGATACCAGATTATAGGATCATATTCTCCAAATGAGATATGCCCTTCCATAAGGATTTAGTTGGTTTCTGCATCCCTGAACAAAACAGTTGACTTTCAGAAGACTTGTTTTCCCACTAATGAAATCTGAAATAGGGATCCTTTAGTTGGATAGAATGAGGTTCAACTGTTTATTTCAGGAGTAAGGCCTTAATGTGTTAATATTGTTCAAGAAAAGAGAAGACCAGAAGCCAAAGACTTATAGTACATTTTCTTTTCATCTGACCTCTGCCCCCTGCCCCATAGCCTTTGTTTCCTTCTTTGTTATTTTTGTTTCTTCCAAAGTATTCTGAAAGAGAATCAGTTTTAGGCATTTAATTTCAGACTCAGTTTGTCAGACTTTTAAAAGAACACACTGCCAATTTTTTGGTCAAAGTGTTAATCTTTTGGGAAAGCTTTCTATCGTTTTGGCACTGAGATATTTATTGTTTATTTATCAGTGACAGAGTTCACTATAAATGGTGTTTTTTTTTTATAGAAGATAATTATCGGAAGCAGTGCCTTCCATAATTATGACAGTTATACTGTCGTTTTTTTTTAATAAAAGCAGCATCTGCTAATAAAACCCAACAGATACTGGAAGTTTTGCACTCATGGTCAATACTTGAGGGTGTTAGAAAATAGCAGCAAGCCAAATAAAATTATGATGCTAAGTATTGGAAAAAGATTAAATTTAATTAGGGGTTGCTAATCAAGACTTTTATTTAGCTTACCAGATAAAAATGATATTTCTGCTAAATGCAGTGAATTGTGACCAATTTATAAATAAATGTTATTTAAAGGCTGTGGTAGTATTCATAGATACAAAATTTTACAGCTCAATTTATGCAGGGTGTAATTTAAATTCCAATTTTGCAAAATTTCCAGTACCTTTATGACAAACCTAACTCACATTATCGGGAGCAGTGTCTTCCATAATGTATAAAGAACAAGGTAGTTTTTGCCTACCACAGTGTCTATATCGGAGACAGTGATCTCCATATGTTACACTAAGGGTGTACATAATTATCGGGAACAGTGTTTCCCATAATTTTCTTCATGCAATGACATCTTCAAAGCTTGAAGATAGTTAGTATCTAACATATATTCCCAATTCCCTATAACTCTTAGTTTAGTTGCAGAAACATTTTGTGGTCATTAAGCATTTGGTGGTAAATTGAACTGCTGTGAAATAAAATTATTACTTCAAGAACATTTTTTAATTTAATATGGGTGTTTTTTTATCTTTGTGGTTTCTCCAGGTCTTCTGTTTAGTGGGGTAGTAGCATACATTTATAATGTTTGCTGTTCACAAATGAATATAACTTTAGCCCCTGATTTGCATGTTATATCCTATAAACTTAATTCAAGCAAGTTTGAGTTCAGAATTGATCTTATGGCTTAAAGCTAGGGGATCATAGATTTGGGGTTGGGAGGAGTCAAGGGTGTGGTGAGGCAAAGCTTGCAAAAAGAATCTTTTTGATCATGTCTACATACCCATTAGTATGGTGGGTTATAAATTATCTAGATATGAACAAGTAAGTTTGAGATTGCATGAGTAAAAAGTCTATTTTCTAGTTAGCCATCATTATAAACCTGAAAATCAAATGTGTCATAAGATAGTTCAAAACTGTCACCTGAGAAAAAGTCCATAGGGTCTTTTAAGGTTCTTAAACTTAGTGTCACTTACCAAATTATGGTAGACCTAGATTATTTTACAGTTGAACTGTTTCGCTACTCACGGTATCTTTAATCTTCACAGTGTTTTATCTGGGACATTTAGTGTAGCTAAATGAAAGGTCATAGCTGGGATGCCTAGTTTGGGTATTGTGCATTAATACTTTAATGAAAGCTCAGTGACTTCAAGGCATAATATGGATAAAGGGCATACATTTTACCACAGTAAGTCTCTTCAAATAAACTAACCCTTTTCTATGATTAGGGTTAAGTTCTTTCTAAACAGGCCAGCAAATGGTAAGAGGTTCAACATCCCTGATTGAAATGTGTGTCTGACTAGTGACAATAGCAGCCTGATGGTCTTAGGGTTTTTTTTTGTTGTTTTTTTTTCCTGCTTAAATATATGTGCATTAGAAAGGTAAAGGGTAAATTGAGTGAGCTCTGTCATGATCCACTCACTATTCTAGAACTTGCATGACCTTTTCTGTGTTTGCTCTTTGAATGTTCTTGAAATTTTAGACGTGTCAGCCTACTGCTCAGCTTTGTAAACAAATGACATGCCCTTATATTATATACAAGTTGGTATGTGCAACAATGTGGAGATTTATCTGATTTAATAAAATGCTTGAACACTGAACTGTCACTTTTTTTGTAAATATTTTTTTAGTTGTAAATATTGTTTTTATGTGGTGCTGAGGATCGAACCCAGTTTCTCATGCATGAGAGGTAAGTGCTCTACCACTTAGCTACAACATTTTTAAAAGTTTATTTACTTTTAAAGAACACTTTGTTTTGCAATAATATTGAGCAGAAAGTACAGAGTTTGCATATACCCCCTAGTCTTGGCCACTGGCACATCCTTCCCCACTAACATCTCACATTGGAGTGGTACATTTCTTAGAATTGATGAATCTACATAGACACATCATTATCACCCCAAGTCCACAATTTATATCAGGTTCTATCTCAGTGTTGGACATTCTGTAATTGCCTTCCTTGCCCTTAGAGTATCTTAAATCCCACAGCTTTTCTAGGCATCCAGTTACAAAAATCTAACCCAGGACCTTAGGAATGCTAGGCAATTGCTCTTCTATTTAAGTCCCCAGTCCTTTATTTCCTAGGCTGGCCTTTAACTTGAGATCCTTCTGCCTCAGCCTTCTGAGTACCTGGAATTAATAGGTGTATGCCCCCAAGCCCAGCTTATTTTATAGGTTTTCTTTCTTTTTTTTTTTTTTGGTATGAGCGATTGAACCCAGGGGCACCTCTGAGCCACATCCCAGCCCTTTTTATTTAGAGACAGGGTCTCAACTGAGTTGCTAAGGGCCTCACTGATTTGCTGAGCCTGCCTTTGACCTTGTGATCCTCCTGCCTCAGCCTCCTGAGTCTCTGGTATTACAGATGGGTGCTAGACTTATAAGTTTTAAAATCTGTTACAATAATAAACCTTGAGTCTTTTGTCCATGATGTTACTGGAGCTTTTTTTTTTTGAGGGGGGGGTTACTCTTGTTATTTATCTAGCTCTCTCTAGCTACATAGATGCAGAGAAAGAAAGAAAGGGCTAAAAGCTCTTGCCCTGGAGTGTGGCTCAGTGGTAGAGACCTAGCCTTACATTAAGCCCTCGATTTGATCCCCAACACCATGAAAACAAAACAAACCAAAAAACCGTCTTAACTGGTGTAGGACTGCATGTTTTGTATGAATATGAGAGATGTCTAAATGCCAGTGGTCTTTCATGGGTGACATTTGCATGTTCTTCAGACATTTCCTTGCTGGAAGCCCCTGACTATGGTGCCCTGATGTACGCATTGTCTTTCTCCCATGCTTCAAAAAGTTGGCCTTCTGGAACTCTTGCACAGGCATTATCCAAGACAACTAAATAAAGTGACTTTTTTTTTTAGTTTTCGGCGGACACAACATCTTTGTTTGTATGTGGTGCTGAGGATCGAACCCGGGCTGCATGCCAGCCGAGCGCGCTACCGCTTGAACCACATCCCCGGCCTCAAGTGACTCCTTTGACAGGGTTCCTCCTAAGGCCATTTCCTTGGTTGTCCATTCCATTTCAGTTAGGTGTGAGGTCAAAGTTCCTGCATCCCCCAAGTTCAAGAGACATAGGCTAAAAATATTCAAACAATAAATATAAACCCAAATAATACTTACAAAAAATAGTACCAACCCTAGTTTTCAACTCCTGGCAGTTTTCTTTGGCATTTACTTACCTGTTTCATCATGTACTTAACAATGGCTATTTGTTTTTCAGCTTTTAAATATAATCTGGTATCTTCCTACTATAGAAAATGTGGCTTTAGCTATGATACCAACTGTTTATTCAGAAGCTATAAAACGAACTAACTATTGTTATTTCCTCTCTTTATTCAATTGAATTATTTATCTATTTTTTTATTTTTTGGTACCAGGGATTGAGCTCTGGGGTATTCAACTACTGAGCCACATCCCCAGCCCTATTTTGGTATTTTATTTAGAGACAGGGTCTCACTGAATTGCTTAGCACCTCACCTTGCTGAGGGAGGCTGGCTACGAACTCTTCCATTCCAATTTTGATTTGTGACTGTTTAGATGGACACAGTTATTGTCCTAGTTCCCACGTCTGTGGGTCTTATCTAGGTGGAATACATGTTAAAGATCTTGTATGTCTTTGAAAGACTATTCCATCAAACTTATTAATTCTATATTGAATGTAATCTTTTGAAGTAATTGCTGTTTTTTTTTGTTTGTTTTTAAGATGTACATGAGAGAAGATGTACATGCTAGGTTGCTTAGGGCCTCACTAAGTTGCTGAGGCTGGCTTTGAACTTTGCCTAAGCTCCTGGGTGAGTGAGTGGGATTATAGGTATATACCACCATGCCCAGCTGGGGTCTGTTAATTAGAGTGAGACAATAAAGCTGTATATTCGGGGTGGCATTTGTCACCTGAAGGACCTTTCAGTATAGTGACTAGTGGGGACCCTGACATTTCACTATCATATTAGTATCTGTAGGTCTGTTCTTTAGGGAGGAATTTATGGAGGACACTTTACTTTAGGGAGTTAGAAGCCTGTTTCCTAGCATTCTGACTCCAGGAGAGAGCCTCTTGGGC